TGACCTTGGTTCTATTCTTGGCACTACAAATCATTCCCTAAGCATCACCAGAAGTGATTCCTGAGCACAGCAGTGTGTGGCCCAAAAACCAAATGACCAAACAAGAATCTAGTAGATACCAGGCAGCAATTCAATCATGTTAAAAATGAACTTTTTTTATTTTCTCAGTAGCTGTTCTTCAGCCTTGAACATACACAGACATATTTGGGGGCCAGAGAGGCAGCTCAATGGTCTAAGCACATGCAAAACCTGCAGGAAGTTGGGAAATGACCCTCACTACAGATGAGATTACCCCTCTCCACTCAGCATCACCCCAAATCAAGCACAAAGTATAATTTTATTTAACAGCTAAACGTTTTTTCCTATACATCATTTATATGAAATATGTAGGGTATGTTTTATTTGGGGAGCCACCCTCTGGTAGTGCTCAGGAGTTCCCCAGTGTTGTTCAGAGAACCATGCAGTACTGATCTATTGTTGCTAGTTGAGCTTTCCGTGTTATTTTCACATATTGAGATTAGTGGGCTTCTATGCTCCTTTCCCATCTAATTGGCAGTGCTTCTGCTGTGCTGTCAGGATTATGGAATTTGGAGGTATTGTCAGGCTATGTAGGCGACCGCCTCCAGGACCTCCGGAATCTGTAAAACTAGGACAATTCTTGACCCAAACCCTCCTGAGGAAGCCCCAGAGTTTTCAGTCCAAAGGCCAGTGTACCTGTGAGTTTAAGTCTTGCTTGGGTTCTCTTCCTACATCAGCCATGAAGCAGTGAAGCTGGGCCGCTGACATGGCAGAGGCTGTGGGCTGCAGCTGCCAGCAGTCCAGGGGTAAGGTGGTGGGTAGCTGCCTGCCCCCACACCAACAAGGCCCCAGAATTTGTGTACCTGGGAATTTTGTTGGCTGAGCATCTCTTCAAAAGTAATCCTTGGTATTTTACTCCATGGCTTGGAGGCCAACCACACATGCTAGGGGAAAAGGAAGCTCAGAGAGAGAAGGGAACACCAAATAAAGGTGTTGGGAGGATCCTCCCAGGATGGGAGAAGCATGCTGAAAGTAGACTATAGACCAAACATGATTGTCACCCATTACCTCTTTTGCAAACCACAACACCCAATAAGAGAGAAAGAGAACAAAAGGGAATGCCCTGCCACAGAGGCAGGGTGGGATGGGGGGGATGGGGGGTGGAAGGGATACTGGGATCCATGGTGGTGGGAAATGGGCACTGGTGGAGGGATGGGTATTTGATCATTGTATAATTGAAACCCAAGCACAAAAATTTGTAAGACAACTGTACCTCATGATGTCTCACTAATAAAAATTAAAAAAATTTTTTTAAAAATTAAAAAAAACATTAAAATAAACCTAAACTATTCCTTGAAAAAAAAAAAAGAGTATTCCTTGGTGTGGTGGAAAATGGGCACTGGTGGAGGGATGGGTGTTTGATCATTGTATAACTGAAACCCAAGCACAAAAATTTGTAAGTCTACAACTGTACCTCATGGTGTTTCACTAATAAAAATTTTTTTAAAAATGACATAATTGTCATTGGGTATAGAGGTCTGAGTAGAATTGGGAGTGGGTCACCATGAAAATAAAGAATAAGTAAGTGAAATGGAGGGTCTTTAAGGAATCTGCCCAGAAAAGGAGTATTTATTTAAATCCCTCTCACTGGTCTCATATAATGTTATATGTTATGCAAATGAAATAAAATAAGCTTTAGAATGAAAAAAAAAAAAAGAGTAATTCTGAAGCAGTGAAACTGGGCCATTAATATGTAGCAGCTGTGAGGGTGGGTGTGGCTGCCAGGGCTTCAGCAGGGCAAGGATTCAGCCCAGTGCCCTCCTCAGAAGGCCCCCGTCTCAGCCTGAAGACCAGCCAGCTTCACCTTCTTGAAGTCCCTTCCAAGATCAGTCAGGAAGCTGTGAAGCTGGGCCATTTACATGGCGGAGGCTGTGCGTTTCCTCACCCCACATCATTTTATATTTTAAAAAACTGCCTTTGGAGTTTGCCTTTAGGTACAGTGGTGCAGAGCCAGACACTGTGGTGGTGGTGGTGTGCAGTAACTCTGTACATCAAAACTAAACTTAACCCATTGTAAACACATTACCTAAGTATAATAGCATTTTTTAAAATTTTTTTTGGGTTTTGAGCCACACCCAACTGTGCTCAGGGTGTATGGCCCTACTTGCTATACTTACTGTCTCTCTACAATCTCTCCAACCTATATAATAATAATAATAAATTAAGTTTCTTTTTACCTTTTATATGAGTAACCAATAGCAAAAAAAAGTTTGATTTGGGGCCACACCCAATGGTGCTGGGGACTGTGACCTGCTATGCTGCTCAGAGTTTGGGGGGACCATGTGGAGCCCAGGATTGAACCTCAGGCCTCCCATAAGCAAAACATGTGTTCAATCTACTAAACTACCCAACCCTGCCCATTTTGGGGGTGAGTCCACACCTGGCTCTGCACTCAGGGGTCAGTCCTGGTAGCGATCAAGGGACAGATGCGATGCCAGGAATCAAAATGGGGTCACTCATATGCAAGACAAGACCTTACCCCCTGTTTTCTCCACACCATCCCCTCCCAATTTTTTTTAAATATGAAAGCCACACAAATGGGTGTTATAATATTTATAAACCTATTCCCTATTACTTTCCCCTCCCTTAGCCTGGAGCTATAGTACAAATAACACCCAATGTAGGACATTTGCCTTGCACACAGCCAACCCGGATTTGATCCCCAGCATCCCATATGGTTCCCCCGATCACTGGCTGGAGTAATTCCTGAAAGCAGAGCCAGGAGTAATCCCTGAACATTGCCGGATGTGACCCAAAGAGAAAAAAAAAAAACAACTTTCTCCTCATCCCACGACTGTTTACCTACATTTGAAATCCTGTGAATGTTTACCTATCCTTCAAATCCAGGTCAGCTATGTGTACGACAAATGCCCTACTCTGCCACGTGCAAGGCAAGTATACTCTAGCTGCTGTACTATCTCTCCAGTCCCAGCATGCACCCATGTACTATTTTTCCTGCCCTCAACAAGCATTATTTGGACAGCTATTATGTACCTAGTCTAGTCAGGAAATTAACAATAGGTAGCAAAAAAAAAAAAATCAGTATTACTAATTCTGTTGAACAGAGAACAAAGATTTATGCATAGCCCTCCCTACTGTTGGCCAAGCTAGCAGCCACGCATCAGCCCGACCCTCATAGGCAGCTGTTTCCTGTAGAAGCAATTGCTCATAGATTCTTTCATCTGAACCCAATCAATGACGCATGCCAGGCCACAGGGCAAACGATGTACAGCACCAGGTTTTCCTTAGTGAAAGTTCAACTCTGGAAAGGGCTCAGCCCTATGCCTGGTGCCTAGTTAAGAGACAACAATAGAATCTCTGTTACTATTGCACATTGCTCAAGTCTTCTGATTTAGGAGTAAGTTGAAGAGGACTATTGTATTTCCTCTTTATGTGCATTATTTGTTTAATTTTGCAACTATTCAATGAAGCAAATAGCCTCTGAAAAACAGAGGGGGAAAAAATGAAAGACAAGAGTATAAATAACATGCCTGGGGGGAACTGTGATTTTTTTGGTTTTGTTTTAGAATTTTTTTTAATTGAATCACTGTGAGATACACAGTTACAAAGTTGTTCATGATTTGGGTTCAGTCAAACAATGTTCTAACACTTGTCCCTTCACCAGTGTACATTTCCCAGTACCAACGGCCCCAGTTTCCCTCCAGTCTCCCACCTCCAGCCTGCCGTTATCCTTTCCTTCTGTCCCTCCTCTCTCCCTCTCCACCCTCCACCCCCTTTTTAGGCACTGTGGCTTGCAATACTGTTACTGAAGGAATGTTATGCATCTCACTTTACCTCCTTTCAGCACTCAGTTCTTGTCCAGAGTGATTATTTCCAGCTATTCTGGAAATGATCCTAGCGGTCCCTTCTCTGTCCTAATTGCATTCCCCCCCACCCCCATCCCCATCCCCCTCTTAAGAAGCTATGATTTTCAAACCTCTTGATTCGATTCTCAGTCCACACCCTATCTATGGCTCCAGCCTGCCATTCAGGAAACAGGACTAACTAGCAAATAGGAAACTTTTTGGCAGGTCTGACTAAGCACACACCCATAATGTCATGGTTATTTTGCTCTCCTGTGGGTTTTTTTTTCTTTCATGAAATGAAAATCCTGCCTTTTCTGTTAGAAGAGCTTAGGGAAAGTCTTGAGCTGTATCATACCTTATTTTACAAGGTTTCAGGCCTGCTAATTGATTGTGTGTTTCTTCTGATGGTAAAAAAAGAGTTGCTTGGGCCTGGAGAAATAGGTAAGTGGGTAGGGCACCTGCCTGTTGCTTGGCAGACCTGGGTTCCATCCCCAGCACATCATGTGGTCCCTGAGTCCCTCCAGGAGTAATAGCTGAGTGCAAAGCCAGGAGTAAACTGAGCACTGCTAGAAATAGAGCAAAACCCAAAAGAACTGCCGTTAGTTATTCAGGCTGGTTTATTTTCAAAAGTGTCTTGGCGGGGGATGGGAGAGGCAGGAAGAGGGTAGTTCACACTCAGCAGTGCCCAGGAGTAACCCTATGTGGTGCTGATGATCTGAGCCAGGTAAAACTGATGCAGTCAGTCTTTGATATAATTTTGTGGTTTTACTTTTCCCCCTTCACTTAATGCAATCAAATTTAAAGTGATTGGTATAAACAAAGTTGCAGAGTCCCAGACTAAGGGGTTTAGTGAAGTGATAGAGACCACTCTTGCATTTCTGAGAGCACCAGCACGAAGCATTCGCAGATAAGCAGGAGGCCTGTTTTTTATTTATTAACCAGCCAACTGGCCTTGGAGAAAATAATCACAGGAGTCTATAACTCAGGGGTCTCAGTTGATAGACTGGTGAGTAAGGTTAGAAAGACAATCTCCTGCAGGCCTTAATAGTTACTTTAAATGTTAAATGTTGGGAAAAACATGCTGGATCAAATAAAACAGATAAACCATCCAAAAAGTAATATTTGAAAACTTTATTTTCTCAAATGAGCACCAACACAGATTGGAAATATGACAGAAACAATGCACTTGTATCTAATACAGAATCACTATGTACAAATACAGGAGAAGGCAAAGACAGATTATTTAAAAATAATTATCTTGTTACTGAAGCAAAGTGTCTTGAAAAATGCCACCAAAAAAAAAAATGAAGCAAAATAAAATAACAAAACCCAAACCCAACAAATACAGTTTGTAAACAGAAGCATAAATAGACAGATTCTGTACTGAAAGATAGTCTCTGCAGGTTGGAAAAAGGGAACCAACTCTTGCTTTCACCAAAATATTGTACCAAAAACATACTGGCAGAGAGAGTTTGGTGATGAGAATAACTTTTCTCTTCATGGCCTTACCTTTCACTGCTGGCAGATTTTATAACTGTATTTTTAAATTACTTTTCTGTCCTCCACCTAGATCACTAGTATGCTCTTCATTTGAGGCAGATTCTTTTAAAATATGTAAGTTGACAGCTCAAGATTTGATTTCCCAGCTCCTTCTTTTGAACCTGAGGCAATCTCACCAATTTTTTTAAAGCTTTTTACCTAACAAGGTATGTATATAATTGGATTAATGCTCTTTCAGTTCCAATCTAGTCTAATCGTTAACATGCTGTCGCTCCTTTAACAACAGGAGCCGTGGGCTACAGGATGAATACACTCACGTCTCAGAAACACAGATCAGACTCTGCTTTATCTTCACAAACAACAGGTTTCCTCCATGGTCTGTGAAAGTTGAGCACACAGAAAAAGATAAAAGAAGTCCGCTGGTAAGAGCTCCACATGCAAGAAAACAAAATCCTTGTGGTTTGTGCTGTTGGTCCATTCAGAAACAAAACAACCAGAGAGAAATAGAAGAAAAACCTTATGTGCCCAAGGTGTAAACTGTAGGTAGTGTCCCCAGTAAAAAAGAAAGCAAGAGGCACAATTCAAAGGGTTGCACACACATGCATTCACAGACAGACAGAGAGACAGACAGACAGACATACAGACATAAAGACACACACACACACACACACACACACACACACACACTTTTATAAACGAGATTCCAAATTGGAGGAAATTCTTCAAAGGACAACCACTCTAAGCTGTCACTAAATTTAATTTTAGTTCATTTCATTTTCCACCCAATACTGGTGCAAGAAAATACTTCAACTCTCAACCTGATACTGTAGTGCTTTCTGTTCTACTGGGGCAAATGCGGGGAGGCCTTGCTTAAGAGCCTCCATCCAGACTAAAGTGGTAGAAGACCTTTAAAAAAAATACATTGATGATCATTGTTTCCCTTAAAATATACTTCAAGAAATGCAGAGGAAACCATAGAATCAAAAAATCAAAACAAAAAGTGCTCTCAGGGAATCTGAGAAAACAGCACCAAATATATTATTTAAAAAATTAAATATTATTTACAAAAGCATATTTCACAAGCAAATGTTTTTGTATACATATGTGTACATATGTGTTTTTTGTATACATATGTGTATACATATATATATATATATCCACTTGAAAATCTTTTTATAAAGGGGATGCCTCTGTTGTATGTACTGACTCACCAGTCACGGTTTCCTCTGTCCTATTCCCATGATGGTACTGTCACAGGAGTTGAGGCAATACTCAGTCAGGTCTAGCTGACAGTCTACGGGCATCACATTTGACTGTACTTGAGTCACATCAAATCAACCCATCAACAATCTAAAACTAATATCCTGGGGGTTCGGTGTAATCCAGGACAGCTCTGGTCACACAACCTAGACTCACACAGGAGACAGAACTCGGGAGTCTGCCGTCTGGTCTTCAGCTGAAAATGAAGGCAGCGTCTGGCTGAGGTACAGAACATCAGACCTTTCCTTTCTTGCTTCTCCCTTTCCTCTTGTCCCTGGACCTCCCTAAGCTTTACCATCAAACTCCAATTCCCTGAACTGAGCAGGGGGAAATGGGATGGATGAGGTCTTTGGTTATGCTCTGAGTCAATTTGGTGAGAAAATTAAAGAATGAAGTGACTGAGGCCATCATGTCATCAGGTCACACGTCCCCACGGCTCAGCTGTGACCACTCCAATACTGTTAGACTTTATGCAAGTCACAAATGGAGTTAGTTATAAGAAGCACTTTTGGTTTCATTGACACAAAGAGAAAGTCTAGTAAGATTTTTTTTTCCTTGTTCTTATGGGAAACTTTCTACACAGATCTCTTGCACCAAACATGGTGCCAAGCACCCACTGGATACTCAATGGATAATGGAAAAAAAAAAACAGAACCGAGATCTAAGAGGAGCCTGCTTTGATCCAAGTCAGGTATGAGTTATACAGTTAAATCCACATAGTTAAGAGTTATGCCAGTTAGATCCATAAAGTTGGAGGACCACAAACCTAAGAAAAAATAGTACCCCCTGAAAATTCTAGAACATCCCAAATATTTATTTTCTGCATTACCCCATTGTATTTTGTCTTATTTTATTTTGGCTTAAAGACAAAACACCTACCCATTTGAATTGCATCTCAGTAGTCCAGGCCATTTCATGAGACCCATCAGAATTCATGAATAAAGGTCACTTACCACTTCAAGGTGGGGGGTAGGGGAGGCAGGGAAAGAAAATCCATGATCTCTGTGCTAACAAGCCAGCATAGGAATGTTAAAATTGAAAAACAAAACCCACAAAACTCTTTTTGAGATCATGGGTCTGGGGGTCAAAAAGAAACTTTTTTGGGGAGCAGAAATAAAATGCTACATCTGAACCTCAGATGTGCGGAAAACTCCTAGTACGAAAGCACCGAAACTTGAGAGGCAAAAAGTTTTGGGGAACAAAATTCTAGTGCTAAGGACCTTTGGCCTTCCAGAGGCTGCAGCTCTCCGGTACTGCCCTGCCTCATCAGTCCTGCCGACCCCATTGCAGAACAGAGCAGCTCGGCTGCCCACCGGCCATTAGCATCAGAGACACAAAAATGTTTTTCCATGGGAACACCCTCCCAGTAGAAATCTGGTTCAATTCTGAAATGTCTGGGGTGGACACTTTAATTTCGATTCATCATCTCGCAGATTCTTCTCATTTTTCAGATTCATGACTCCGGAACTCATTTTTTGTGACTTTTTTCATATGCTTTTTGTTGGGAGTTGTACCCAGTGATGCTTAGGAGGTATTTCCAGCACTGTGTTGGGGGATCACTACTAGTGGTACATGGGGGATCACGGGGTGCCAGGTATCAAACACAGGCCTCCTGCGTGCAAAGTGTATGCTCAGGCCATTTAGCGATCTCTCTGGCCCACCTTGTGACAAGCTGACTTTACGCATAGGATCAGCCTACTGGGAAAATGAGATGCTAAGATTCACCTAACATAACCCGCCTTTACAAATAAGAAGGTTTTCCATGAAACTCAGTTAAATGAGTTTTAGTCATGCACCATGTACTGGTTGAATTGCTATAGAACAGACTTCACAGTGTTGATTAAATATTAACAAATCCCTCTCTCTCTTATGAGCCTTACAGGGATTTGTTCTCTGCTTCCCAAAGATACTGAAGTTTGGATGAGAAGGTGAGGGATGGGAGGTAATAATAGAATCTGTAACTTAAAAGTCTCACGTCAAATTTAAAGAGAACAGTTAGGGGCCTGAGGGACTTAGTGGCCACGTTATCACTAAGCTCATGATGTTGTTTTCTACATTGTACAATGACAGCATTGGAGAAAAACATCCACAACTCTATGTACAGAAAGTTGCTGATCTTTCAGAAGCTACTACAAACCAGAGAGGAAAGATGCACCTTACCAGTCTAAACAATTCCCACTACTGCACCCCAAAACTCCCCTACTTTTCACAGGCTCTTATTATTAAAGGTCAAGAAAAAAAAAAAGGAATCGCTAACTGGTTCTGCTTTTTTGATTCTGGCCTAAGATCTGAGACATTTTTGCAGAGGCTTCCAAAGAGCAGCTCCCTTAATTCCCTGATCTCTAGAATAATTACTGATTTTTATTTTGTTGCTCATCAAAACCTTTGGGAAGTTTGGCTCTTGCACCCACTGTACATGGCAATCCCCTCTCCTCTCTCCAACAGTGGCTAATGAGGGAAAGATTACCCAGAGGAGCAGCAGAGACAGAGAATCATCGAAAGCCATTTGGGCCTTTCCCAAGTCACTCATTGCTGCCAGGACATTCTCCAACTTGGCCCAGGTCCCCGGCCCCACCAGCTAGAATTAGGGTCACTTCTTGTGTTCATTTGATAACCTGGCACATCCGACGTCAGGAACAGAAGCATCTGATTAGACAGAGTATGCAGTCATGAGGTATTTTTTTCTTTGTCCTTTTAGACAAGTTGATTATTTCAAGCCTAAGTTACCAGGTTTCTGGGAGCAGCACAATTTTGTTCCTACCTCTACCTCCCAGTCCCTGGCCCGCCCCCACCCCCAAGACCATTAAGGCTCCTTTTCTTTCCCTCTTCCTCATACCCCCAAGCTGGGCCACTAGGCTCCCGTCAAGAGGCCATCAGGCAGCACTCACACACGGGCCCAGAGGCCCAAATCAAGAGGCGCTGCCGCCATGTGGTCAGGCATCTGTTCCTTTTGTTGAAATGTTTTTAGCCAACACCAGAACAGAGAGAGAAGCCAGGATCAACTCACAAACAGATACAAAGCAAAGAGACAGAGAGACAGCAATTTAGGGGCCGGTCACCGGAAGGATGGTGTTAGGGTGGGAGAATGCCCCAGATGGCAAGGCCCCTAAATGGATGGAACCAAAGTGTTCAATCACGCTCTCACGCTTGGGGAGAATGTTCAGTTGGATGGCATTCACGTGGACACTGGTTTGGATGGATGCTCTCTGGATCAGTCCCAGCCATTGTCCTTGATCATGTGTGCTAATTCAATGATGTATTTGCCTTCTTTATACTTCTGGCTGCTTTCAAAAGCATGTTCCTAGGGGAAAAAGGTGAGAAAAGGACACCTAATGACCAACCACAGAGCAGCAGGGCCAATGACAGCATCTGGAGTACTGTCATCTGGTCCCAGCTTTACCCAGACTCAACTGGAGAATTTCTCCACTCAAGCTCTGTCCCCTTCCAGAATGACAGTACTATGTAATACCACGACTTTTTCAACATGTACAATAAAATTTAATTTTTTAACGTTTATAAAAGAATTGATTTTATTTTTTATTCATGACGATGTAAAAATCTTTGCTCACAATTTCAGTAACCCAGGGTTGCACACATGTCGGGCATGTGCTTTATAACTGAGTCCAGCCCCCAACTACTCTATTTTAAAAGTATCAGTGAGTACCTCCTTTTTCCTGTTTTTCTCTGTAACACTCAACACTTTCAAACATACGTTATAACTTACATCTATTTTTACTGTTGCTGTATCCCTACTGCTGAGAGACTGGAAGGTCTTTAGTTATAACTGCCGAATGCATATGTCTGGGCCTGTGTGTATAAATACCTAAATGAGGTACATATACATAATGTACAGGGCTGGAGAGATAGTGGGGGAAGGAAACACAGTGCTTGCCTTGCATCAAACTGACCCTGAATCCAACAACCCCACCCCCAGCCCTGCAGCACATATGCTCTCCTGAGCATTGCCAGGAGTGATCCCTGAGCACAGAGCCAGGAGTAGGCCCTGAGCACAGCCAGGTGTGGCCCCCAAAATATATGTATCTAAGGAGAACCTAAGTAAGTTCTGATGCTAACCAGAAATCTGCCCTATGGATTCATCCATAAAGTTCCTGGAACATTCCTGCTGGTTTCTAGGAACACAGGAAAGTCTGGTAATAATTTTAAATTGCACTGTTATGCTTAGAGAAAAGATAATGGGTGATAAAAACAAGGCATGGAGAGGCCAAACAGGAAGGTCTCCTTTTTATTTTGTTTGTCTTATATGCTTCTGTGTCAGACGTGTTCAAGTCTGCTTTTCCGTTACTCCCATTCTCAAAGGATATGGGAGCTGAATAAACTGGAGACTGAAGGGGAACCTGCTAGTCCTGCTGATTCTCTCCGAGAGAAAGAAACACCTGACAGGTGACTGTTCTCACCTTACAGTAACTGAGGGCTCTTCCACCTCATAAGCAAACAGAAGTCTTGCATGAGACAAAAGTTATTATATGTACATTCCCAGATACACACAAACCACGTGGGTGTCATCTACAAAATACTGGTCATTCGATTGCAAAGCTCTCCCTCCTGAGCTCCCAAATTAATTAGTAACCACATTCTTCAATAGATTGGTTTTGGTTCTGGAAATGTGCTGGTTCCATATTAGGGTGCTCAGTAAATGAGCGAGGGGAAAAATACTAATTAGAAAAGTGTGACTATCTCCATTAAACAAAAGAGAAAAAAATGTCTCCAAGTCATGGGGCACTTCCAAAATATCAGAGCTAGACCCTAGATGTCAGACCACCATATCTAGAGTTAATTAAGAAATTTTAATTCTCAGCAGAAAAGGATCCCATATTTACAGGAAGGTAGAGATAAGAATTGTTCTATGTGTGTTTTTGCACACAGTAGGGTAAGATGGATCTGCTAACATGGGATTTATTTAGCATTAAACACATCTCCCTCCCTCTTCCCATAGGAAAAGAATGCTCCATCGCTCTCAGAGATGCCAAAAAGATGTTTTTGTTAAGTTAAAACAAATGAACATATGTCCCAGTCGTGAAAGCGCAGCCAGGATTATTAGACCAACAGACACTGACTAATGTCTGATGATGCAACACAGGGCAAGACTTTTTTTTTTTTTGGCTATACTTTTTTTTCCTTTGGGCGGTGGGGGAAACACACCAAGCTATTCTAGGACTTACTCCTGGCTCTGTGCTTTGGGGTCACTTCTGGTGGACTCAGTAGACCATAAGTGCTTCTGAGACTGATTCCAGATAAGCTGTGTGCAAGGAAGTGCCCTACTTACTGTGCTCTCTGTGTGGCCCTAAGTCCTGGCTTCACTATAGACTCTTATCCTGGTTGGGTCACTTATGGACTTAGGTAACATCAGCTCTACTACAACATTCCCTAAACCTCAGGCTCCTCAACCATAAAAGAGTAAAATATGACTTAGAGAACCAAAGAGAAAGCTCATCAGGCTGAGTGCATGATTCTCATGCTGGAGGCCGGGGCTCCATTCCCAGCATCACATGGTTGGCTAAGCACTTGTGGGAATGATTCCATCACTGAGCTGGAAATAGCCCTGGAGTACTGCCAGGTATGACCCAAACCCCCAAACCAATCAATTCATCAAAGTGTATGTATTTTGGGGGCAGGTGTATGTTCTGATCCATTCTTTGAGCTAGCCTGGCCTGGCAACTCCACAAGGTCATGGGAAGTGAGCAGAGGAAAAGAAAGCTTCTGGGTTCATCCCTTCACAGCTCTCCCCTTGCCACCCCCTCCCCCCACATCAGATTCAAGATATACTCACATATTTCCAGCCCAGCGTGGTTTTGCAGTTTTCACAGTAAATGTCTGCAACTGCATGTAATCCTGTTAGCAACACTCGCTCCTCGGCTGGCCCGCAGCCCACATTAACTCTACCAAAGGACAGAGAAAGGAGATTAGTCACATGCTCATCATCTGTGCTCAAGATAAGCTCCGAGCACAAAACGAACTGAGAATGGCTGTCTGACCGCCATCCTTCAAACAGAAACGACCGCCAAAAAGAAACCAGTAACAGTTCTCAGGGCCCTGGGTAAGCTCCCTGTTCATTTCAGCCCTGTCAGGTCTGTGTCCATGAAATCTGCTGAAAATAGGTTTCATGGTTGAGAATGCACTTGGAGTTTCTCTAGATGTGTTTAATTTTGTAGTCTGAGGTAAGACTGAAAACCAGCCATGAGAACAGATCCTCTGTGGTTACTGAGGTCTGAACACAGCCAGGAGATGTCAAACATGGGTTACATATCCTTGCCCTGATCACAAGGATGAATGAGGAAATAAATACTCTAAACTCCTCTACAAAGAGACAAAGAGCCAGTCACCTCAAGCTGAATGTGTTATGAGCCTGTTACACTTCATCAGGCACGTGTGAGAGGGGCTTGCCTTTCCCCAGAGAGGCTACCCCTCTGCCTCTAGACAACTGAGATGGGGGAGACTTTTCCCTGAGCCCCGCTTTCCCTTCTGCTGACCACAGGCTCTTCCCTCAGCCCTCCTCTCCCCCAGACCACTGTTCAGTCTGGTTAGGAGGCTCTCACTGAAATACTTTCTTTTCCTCTCTGTGAGGCGGCAGCACCTTGATGCCTACCAGGATGAGTGAATAGGACATTTTAATTTAATTTTTTTTAATGAATCACCATGAGGTACATTTTTATCCAAAGATACTGCCAGAAAATGTCCTGCAGGTAACTAACTCCCAATGGTGGAGAGCCATGTTCGATGGTTTTATATCATGGCTGAGGGCAAGGCCCAGGGGTTCAATGACTGCTGCTCATCCCAGCCCATGCAACAGTACACAAAAGCCAGACTCTGAGATACTCACACTGAGTTAAAGAGGTATGCGCGTCCTTGACTTCCTTGGAACGACTACAACACACAAAAAAAAATCCATATCAATACTCAGATCTCCACGTTATTACCCCCACGCCAGAACCTGGTCCCCAAGAAAACTAATCAAGTGAGATATCCATATCCCTCCACTCAGGAACCCAGTCTGTATCATAACCATCAGATCTTTTTGGATTGGTGCCATAATGCAGGGAACAGAATGCCAGGTAACAGGCCCACGGGCAAGGGATGTTGGGAATAATGAGCAGGCAGAACCAAACGATCACAGAACTGGGGCCTGCCTGCATTTGCTCTGTTTATCACCAGATCAGGTGAAAACCTAAATACAGCATCACTGAAATCTTCCCTTTTGATTTTACTAGGAGAATCAATTCACATGGGTTTTTCCTGGATTCTCTTGATTTCAGCCACCCGTGCAGTGTGCTACAGCTTTCCTCATGTGGCCTAGGACAGGGAAACCAGCCATAAGAGCGTTTGTAGCCATAAGAGCTCTGGGTGCAGCCCTATAAAAGACAATCCTAGCACAAGAATAAACCCTCACCCCCACACTTCCCACCTGTCTTGCCTTCCTGTAGATCCTAATTGCCCTGACAGCTACAATCTCCCCTCGACGAGAACATGGGGGGTGCAAGCAACTTGATCTAAGGATCACAGGAACACTCACTGAGTAGGGATCCTGTTTTAACTTCCAGCTTAACTACGACCTTTTTTCTTCCGGCTGGAGGGTGACAGAAATAGGAGCCAGAAGAACGTGCCATGCAAACCTGGCATCCGCTTCCACTAATAGAGGCCCTTCTCTCCATTTTCCTTCTCTGGTTACATGGAAATACTGGGGCTGACATGAGCCAGCCATGTTCTGCAATGCAGCCTGCATTTTTAATGTCACCTGACATCCATACCCTGAAGTAAACATCCTAGTCTTGTCTAAAACCTATTCTAAAAATAAGTAAAAGGTTTTCCTACAACCTGTTACTCGGTGGTTAGTGAAATCTGAAGCTGACGGGTTAGCAGATGAACAAAGGGTGGGGAAGAATCAGACAGGACACAGATCACTGCACAGGAAATGGCCATTATCAGAGTGCAGCACAAGTCTTGACTTGCGGGAAAAATGCCTTGGGGACAACAAGACTGTTGGGTCCAACACTAGCCAGGTCTTCACTGCCCATGTTCCCAGCCTCAAAGCATAACCCAGCCTCTGCTCTCTTTGTCTCCTGAGACACTCCTGGGGGCACACAGAAGCCCCAAGTCTAACATCTGAGCAGCTACGAATATCACAGCCTCAAAACTTCTAACGTGGACATTCATGCCAAGCACTAGAGGAGACAATGTCCCAGGGACACAGCCATTGCATTTTATTAATGTAAAAATTATTTAAGGGGCTAGAATGATAGTACAGCAGATAGGGCATTTGCCTTCTACATGGCTGATCCAGGTTCAATCCCCAGAATCCCATATGGTCCTCCAGCACTGCCAGGAGTGATTCCTGAGTGCAGAGCCAGGAGTAACCCCTGAGCACTGCCGGGTGTGACCCAAAAAAGCAAAAAAAAAAAAAAATTTATTTAAAATACCCTTGCACGCGGCCGACCCAGCTGACCCAGTTCAATTCCTTTGCCCCTCTCAGAGAGCCTGGCAAGCTACCGAGAGTATCTCGCCCACACGGCAAAGCCTGGCAAGCTATCCATAACAAGTGTCACAATGGAGACGTTACTGGGCCCACTCAAGCAAATTGATGAACAACGGGAGGACAGTGCTACATATTAAAATTGCTCACCCCCTCGCATGCCATGCCCCTTCCCCTCCTTGGCAACCTCAGTTCTGCTGTCAGAGCCCAGTGGCTTTTACTAATTCTCAGTGCTTTATCTCATCCCTTTTGTCCTCATGGACCACCTATGAGTGAGATCATCTGGCAAGACCATGTGTTTTAGAAAATATGTTAGTTCCACTCCGGGCACAAAGATATCGAAGTACTGCAGGGTGTCAACAGCCTCTCAGTCTGACCCTAGCAGCCGGTACAGTGTCTTTCCTTGCCAGTTTCCACTACAATCAAGATTAGACTATCAAATGCCTCAACCTCCTTGTGCCCCTAATCCTCCAGCCTTCACTCCCCACTCACCAACAGACCATCCCACTATACTGTAACTATAGTTTGTTTTATAAAACTTAATAATAAACTGAATAATACAGTATCAGGCTCCTTTTCCCCTTGGCTTCCTTTATTCAGTCAAATTCTTTGAAGACTCGCCTTTATTGTTACCGATCAATAGTTCATTTCTTCTCATTGCTGGCCGATATTTCACTTTACCAAGTCTATTGATTGATGGTTTGATTTTTAGCAAGGAACTTGAACTAGCTGATCTCCACTTCCTCTTCCACATCCAAGATTATTTGTGGAAGCCTCTAAAAAGTATTTTTCAAAATCAGAATTTATAAGGAGGAGCCAATGGGAAAACAAATTCTAGAAAACTGCCAAGAGGGAAACTATAACATGAAGGAACATAGCTTTACCATTTATGACAAGAAAATATGTTTATTTCCAAATACCTATAGATCATCTCCTAGCTGTAGGAGAAATTCGGCTCCCCAGAAGATTCAGGAAATGATCCTCCAGGGGAGGGAAAAGTACCTATATTTTATTTCAAAAACAATAGCTTCACCACCAGTCATAACATATAATTGCCTTCGGGATCATCCCCAGGGCTGGTGTGTCTGGGTTCAGGGCAGCAAACGTAATTCCAGCTATGTCCTTCTTCTGTCTTTGCTTTTAGTACATCATGAAATGTTTCTGTGCCACAGGATGCCAATAATGAGGCTGATGTTATATAAAAATAGAATCTTTAAACAGTAGGATTCTTGTCTCTTTTTTTTTTTTTGCAATGGGATACAGAACCACAAAAAAAGGTTCACTTACAGCAAAGAGCTTGAAATTATAAAGAGAAGTCACACATTTTTCTTTTGCAAAAAATGAACATTCCAAGCAGGATGACCCTCGTGTGAAGGGTAGCTGACAGCAGTATGCTACTTGGCAGCATTTACAGAAAAACACACTAAATCTTCCCCTTCAAAGTAAAGGTGACATTTTAACAAAGAATGGGAATGTAACTTCAAACAAGAAAGAAAGAGGCACTTTGGAGAAGAGATATTCAGCAATGTTTTTATTTTACATGATCTCTGAAATTAAAATCAATTCAAAGTGAAATGATTTTAGGAGAAAATCATGTATGTTAGAAAAGATCTCATAATGAGCCCAGCAGAAGCATATCTTATAAAAAGAAACTACTCAATTGAACTTCAAAATTTTTAATTTTCAGTTGTGTCTGAAAAACAAAACTGTTACGAGAATGAAAAGCTGAACCATGGCCTTAGAAAAAATATCTGCAAATTTCCTAACAGGAGGCTTGTATCTCTGATAGGGAAAAAAAAAAACCTCTGCAAATGCCACATGGAACGAGGGACGAGGGAAGGAAGAAATGACCAAGAAGATGGGGGCTGCAGTGATACAGCGATAGTATAGCAAATTTGCCTTGCATGCAACTGACCTATGTCCAACCCCTGGGACCCGTTAGATCCCCTGAGTACAGAGCCAGAAGTGAGCCCTGAGCACCACCTGTTTTGTGCCTCCCCCACCCAAAAAAAAAAAAAATGGGAGCCAAGCACCCAAGTTCATTAGGGTAAGTATCAACCCTAAAATGAACGCAGAGTCCTGAGCTCCAGTAGAATGTGCCCCTGACCTTGGGCAGCCCCTCAGGAGAAGAGGACTGCTGTGGAATTGTAGGTGGCTGCAGAAACACGGGAAAGGGAAGCACTGGGAATTGCTTCAATGAAGATCCCAGTGGCACCAGAACAGATGTCAGCTGCACACTTCTGAGGTTCAGGGTGGGGGGGCTCTGTTTTCATACCCACTGAACTAGGAGGTTCTGTGATAGAATAAGAAGCCTGGGATAAACCCAGGGCAGAATAGCGTCATTTGCTGCTGACCCCAGGCCAATAGAAGAGCAAGTTCTTGACTGGGGAACACTTGCCCAGCCAAGTCAACAGTCTCGGCCGCACCCAGCTCAGTGTCATCTGATGAAAGAAGGCCACACCCTCCAAAGAATGGCGGTACCATCACCTGATTAAGTCCAGTTATTACACAGGTTACTGGCCCACATACAGTTTAGGGAGCCCCAACTGCCACCCAGACCCTCCCAACACAGGCACTAAGGCATCATGGGATGCGGGATCTCAGACCAAGGTCCCTGAGGTACACATGACCCCAAGGTCTGCTCACTGCTCAGGCTGGTCATTCTTCTATTTCACATCCCTGGTCTAACACCTACTGGGCCTCAGAGTCCAGCCCTTCTAGATGGCAGCATTTTAGCTGCTACTGCAGGTAACTGAGATCACTAAGACCCCGTGGATATCCAGGTCAACACCAACTTAGAACCACAGACACTGATGTGTGAGTGTGAGGCCCTGATTACTGCTCAGGCCAGCTTGTACTGGATACTCACCACTGTCTAATAGCACTAGGCATAATGAGGACACAGGAATTCAACCTCACTTGTGAATGCGCCTCAAAACACTTTTCTTTTTGTTTTGAGGCCACACCCATAAGTGCACAGGGATCATTCCTGGCAAGCTCAGAGAACCATATGGGTTGCTGAGGACCAAACCCAGGTTATCCACATGCATGGCAAGTAACCTACCCACTGTATTATTCCCAGCATCCCATATGGTCCACTTAAAAAATTGAAAAAAAGGGGATGGAGAGATAGCACAGTGGGTAGGGCATTTGCCTTGCATGCAACTGACCCAGGTTCGAATCCCAGCATCCCATATGGTCCCCTGAGCACCACCAGGAGTAATTCCTGAGTGCAGAGCCAGGAGTAACCCCTGTGCATTGCCAAGTGTGACCCAAAAAGTAAAAAAAAAAAAAGTGTTTGGAACATCAGGAATCATCAAGGGGTTGATTCCTGAGTACAGGGCCAGAGTAACTCCTGAAAATTGCCAGGTGTGGCCCAAACTGCATCCCATCCCCT